GGGTATCGCCAAGGTTTTTGGCAAAATTTGATGTAATATCGCTGCTCACGTTGTTCAGTCATTTTCCAGCTTAGTGAAATCCGACGAGAGCGCACTACATGACCTCACTCATACGCCGATTGCCAACGACTGACGCTTCCTGCAGGCGGGAAAAAATTCAGGGCTGTGCATGACTGTCCCCTCCACAACTCCACCGAAGGAGGCCTCTCTCGCATCATTGGTTTACGCGGAAAAAAATAAGGTCCGATACTTTTTGAACAGACCTTGTATATAAATCATTTTTTTAAATTAAAAAAATATCTATGAAATTATTAAAAATAATTTCATTTAGAATTGAACAACTGATTCTTTTTCCTATCAATAATAAAGTTACTTATGAAAAACTTCTAGAATCATAGTATTTGTTTCATGTATATATATATTTTTTAAATTAGCATTGATCCAAACAATATACAGGTTGTAAATGAAGTTTGTGCCAATGTTTTGTGGATGGATTCTAGGGTCAGAAATAGGCTAAAATTTTCTATGAAGATTTTAAAAAATCCGCTTCATTTTCGAGATATGGCCTGCCAAAAAAAAGATATTTTTCAAATTCCCCGCTATAAGTGTTAACACTTTTTAAAGTAATTTTTGTATTTTTATGCTTCTGTCAACCGATCGAGATAAGTAAATGTTGCTCAAATAGGAGTCCTACTGTAATAATAAATGTAAACAAAGACTTATCCACTTTAAGATTTTGCATTATCCGCCTGAATTATATTAAATAATATATATTTATACATTATATATACAGTTAGAAAGCATGAGTTTTGCAATGTAAATTTATTTTTGAATAACATTTCGTTTATTTATAAAAGTAAACAGAATAATTTACAAGAACTACTCAAAATGTCCTCCGCGAATGCATGCAATTATGCTAACGTGTATTCAGAGAAACAATTTTCGACATTTAAAGTAAGTATCTTCAGTTTGTATGTGTTGGTAACACAGGAATGGAAAACAAACAGCAGTATATTTTTGGAGGGATGTTTAAAATCGGTTTCCAATTTTTTTAGCAGGCCATTTCTCAAAAAACGAAGAGGATTTTTAACAACCATTGAAAATTTTAGACTTATCTTTGACCCTAGAATCATCCACAAAATAGTGGCACCGAATTTAATTACACTCTGTATACTTACAGATCATCATTTCAGTGAATTAAAAGATCTTGCCGGTAAATATACCATTCCTAATAATGAACAGCATAAATATTAGAAGAAGAAGTTAATTGCGCGATTAATTTTAACTCTTTGAAAGAATTTTATAACTTTGCAAAGTTTTTTAAATATTATTTTTAGTGTTTAACTTTATATATGAAGCACTAAAAATAAAATGCATTGTAATTTTGCAAATTTAGAATTGAATTCAAATTTTCAAAATTTAATTATTTTTACTCTAAAATGCGACTGATAAATTGTTTAACTAAGCAATATTTATAATAAGAAATGTTCTATTCTAGACATTAAAATATTGCAAAAAAAATAGTGCACCTTACTTAACTTAGACTAAACTGAAAGTTGTTTTAGCTTCGTAAATGTTTTTATATAGATTATTATTATTAAAATTTCAACAAAAATGCATTATAATATGGCATAAACTGAAAAATAAAATAATATTAACAATCGAAAAATTGCAAACTCGATACTTCAAACTAAGATGAAAAAATATCGTTAGATAATTCACCAAGAAATGTTTAATTAAGCAGTTTTAAATCTACTTAAACATTTCAGTTACGAATTAAGAAATGAAATTGCTTATACTGTATTATACTTTCATCATATTTTTTTTTCCAAATTAGAACTCCAAACCGATGCTTCGTGGGTACATTAGCACAGGGCTCTGCACTTCGTGGATCCATACGCGCAAGAGTTCACTTTTGGTTAATTCTCATCCCTCTGTGTCTCAAAAAGGGACCGCATTTATATTTTGTACTTGGCTACACGAAACATGGAACCGATATGATTACAAACTAAAACGATTGCCATGATGAGACTAAGAAATTTGATTAATAAGAATATATACCAAATTTTCTAGAGCTTCTGGGATAAAACAAATCATTATATATTAATGATTTTTTTATTCTAGAAGCTCTTTATATATACTTATATAATTATTACTATTTAATTCATTGTTTCTAATTGATATCTTGAATAAAAAGTACAAATTTTAGTGCGGGATATAAATTTTAAAACAACAAATATTGCAAAGAATTTTGTTTTGATTTATTTCAGAACTGTACGAGAAAATTCATAATATTCTTATTAATCGAATTTCATGTCATTACTACTAACTGGTAACTGTAGAATATAATACATTAGGATTAATAATAATAATTATTATTATTATTAAAATTTGAATATTTTCAATGCATATTAAAAACGCGTTTCAATTAAGCAATAATTGCCTTTGATTATGATTAATAAAATATCTATAAAATATTTTTTTCAAATTCTTAAACATTATTAAACTCGTTTTAAATTCTATTTGCAATATAACATGAATTTTAAAAGCCTCGAACTTTTCTAAATTTGATGACAAAGCAAGTTTTGTATAGAACTGTTAAGTACGATTTTTATAATTGAATAACTTTGTTTATCTATTTATAAAAAGGATATCCAATAATTTTATGCTCTTTATTTTAGCACAGTATCTAATACTATAACCTTTTAATTTGGAAATAAAACGCTTTTATAATATGAATTAACTTAAAACATATATTTTAACAATAAAAAGTAGCAATAAAGCTATATAAACTGATACACAAATAGTTCGGCTAATTTAAAAATTTTTAATGTTGTATATAACTTAAATTCAATAAACTCTTCAAAAATAACAAGAGTTCGTGTCTTTCTGTCCCAGGAAATATATGAAATTACTGTCGAGACAATCCATTTTTATCGTCAAGTATATTTAAATTAAAATATAAAAATGATTCGTACCGAGTACAGTATATCACGTCACAAACTACGATTATTCAATAAAAATCACCCTACCAACAGCTTCTGTTTTACTGAAAACAAAGTACAGTTGCTCCAAATACGGTATATTCTGAATGTAGTCGACATATAGTACACATGTCTGCAAGATAACAGAGCAGCATACTGTATTTACTTACAGATCACATTTATCGAGTTCCTTATTGTTTGATGATGACTTTGAATTACAAAATATATGGCAGAAATAATGTTTTGATAAAAACACGTGCATTATTACTGAAAAATAATAAATTATTGTTATATTTTTAATCTTTGTCGTTGTTTATGCAACAAACTTATTTTAAATCCTGAAAAACAACTAATTTATTTGGCATATGTAAAAGTTTGTGTACAATTTTAAAATTTTAATAACGTAATTACTTTTACTTTTGCTTCTTGATTAGTTATTTTTGAGTAAAAGCAATTACTTTTCATCAATTTATAATTAAATTTTATTTTTCAGTGTGAATTTAAATATTTTATTTATTACTTTAAGCTATTTCGTTGATGTAAACAAATTCAGTAATTTTTCAAATGTTTAATAATTGAAATTAATTAAACCTTAGTCTAACCATTTTTCTCGTACAAATACATTCAAAACAAACCTGAAACTTTTCATGCGTTATTTATTTTTCTAAATTCGTTACCCCTTTTTCTGGCACGCATCCATTGTATACGTTAACGATCTATGTAAATGTAAATTCGTATTTAGCCAAATACTTGAAAAATAGTACTTAAATTATCGGAAAAAATATTTGAAAACTCTTCTTATCGTTTGCTGTTGTTGTGTGTGTATATATATAGGGCTATATATATAAAATATGTATATATTTTTTTGAAAATTATGCAAAACATATCACGGAATTAAACACTAGCTTTATATTAATAAATAAAGACGATTACGAATTTAAAAATGAAGAGAAAATCGATTTGAAATAATATATATACTAGGGGAATACAGCTTATTTTATAAATTAAACAATTGGTTTTAAATAAATATTAAATTCAGAATTTTAGTAAGTAGTTCATAAATAACTTACAGTACTTGATGTCTTTAAAAATGTACACACATTTTAGTTGTTAATAACAATAACTTATGCGCTTATTTTCTTAATTTTAACTTAATTATTTTCTATTCTAACAGTTACTAATTTACAGTAAATTATAAGGTTAAATTATAAAAGGTATAATAAGATTTAAATTATCCATTTGTCTAACTTGCAAGACCAAATTTTATTTGGATAAAAGAAGATTTTTACAGAATTGTGGACTGAAAATGTGTATGTATTTTTTGGAAATTCTGGATACTGCATGTTTAACATTTTAGACAAAAAATATTTATGTACAGTAATAATAAACCAATTGAGTAATATTTTTTTAATTCGACTACATGAGAACTAATTCGATTAGAAGCTACTGCTGAATTCGCACCTTTTGACAGGATTTTTCTTACTGATTTGCTTATTTTTCCGCTTATTTTTGTTTTCAAGTGATATATTATAACATTTATAAATGTATGATTTAATATAAAATTCTAAATGATAATTTAATTAGCAATTCAGCTACATCATTCTACAATAAAAATTTATTCACTATATTTAGTGTTTTTTCTTCGTAAATAAAGAATCATGATTTCTTTACCTAGTCATATGAATGTAAATGTTATTAATAATGCATTTAATTCGTTATTTATAGTTAATGTTCTATTTTAACGCAATATTTACGTTAAAATAAGTTAAAATAATTTTTATTATATATATAGCTATTAATAAAAATTTTTAATTTGTGTCTAATGAATCTTAATAGAATTTTAAATTATATTTTAATTAGGAAATCCAAAAAGGTTTATTTAAGATATTTTTTCAGTTCTGAAAATTTATTTTAAAAAAAATAAATTTAACGATTAATAAAAATGATCTATAAATGAAAAGATAAAAAACAAATTTGATTACTATTAACATTAATTTATTAAAAATAAGAAAAGAAAATATTAATTTTAATCAGTCTTTATACCATTCCCACGTCATTAAAACAAGCGAAACAGAAAAAATTTAAAGAAAATTAAACAGATGCGAATGTATTTAATTAGTGAATATTATAATTTTTAAAATCTACACGTAATTAAAACGTATAATTAATAATTTTGACTGCGCAACTACATTACATATTTTCTCTAATGATGAATTCTTAATCGACAATTAAAGCTTTCAAACGCATTTCAATTTAAGCACATGTAATTCGTAATCTAAAACTCGAATGACTAATCATAAATCAATGTGTTATATCAATAAAAGTTGCCGAAGACCGTTGTAAATCGTATTGATATAAATAATATTGTTTATCATCATTACTACCTAATTATATATTATCAATATTCATATTTGCATTCATTAAATATGTAAATTAGTCTGATGAGTTTAATAAGACACAACTCGCATTTACTATAACATCGAATGATTCGAACTGATTGATATTTCTCTTGGAAGCATTCCAAGTTATCCTTTAGAAAATTATATTAAGAAAAAAACCTGTTTTATAGATTATAAAATCAATTTTTTTTTTGTTTTATATACATATATATATAATTTAATTCTACTTTTATGTGTAGAATTCGACTTTTATTTTTTAATATTAAATTTTTTTTGCTAATTATCAACATTATTACTTTTAATTTCATATGTAGATGTGGCAAAATATTAATATTATTAAGTTTACTCAGCAATTTATTTTAATCTTTATTCAGTCGAGAGTCTGCTAAGAAAATAGGTCAAGTCAAATCTTGGCACATACACGATACTGTGTAGATCAATTTAAAGGCAACAGTATTAAGATTTTCATGCTTTTTCTATCTTAAAGAAAACCTTTCAAATATTATATAATAATAAATATTATTATCTTTAGAGTCTTAGAAATAGGAAGAATAAATTATCAAACAATAAAAAGAGATCGAATTCCGATATTTAAAAATAAACTTTAATAAGGAAGTAAGTTAATAAGAAAATAATAATAATTAATAAAATAAGAAATTAAAAATAATTCTTACATTATAGTCAACATGCGGATATTCTTTGATCGTTTGCAAATATTTCTTTTCTAAACTGGGTATTGACAAATAAAAAAATCCAGCTANGTATTAAATTTAGATCATTTAAGTATAAGATTTTTTTTTCCTCTCTCTCTCTCTCTCTCTCTCTCTCTCTCTCTACACGACCGTGTAACGATGGGTTTTAATATTTAATGTAGAAAACTGAATGCATTAGAATGATGTAAAGATGTGTAAATAATACAATTACTGTACTGCTCCGTATCACGATGGTTGCAGCTGAACTGTACTAACAATATACAGCGAATCGTAAATTTTTATCAAGGTCGAAATCATAATTACTTCAAGTGAGTTTGAAATACAATAATTATAGCCTTGTTAGCACTTTTTAAATAACTTTGTGTTTAGTATCCATTCGTTCGTCTTTTAAGTATTTTATGAATATATTGATAATGGAAGGTGGATATACTTCGTTATGCTAAATTTAGTCAGAATTTTAAATCATTCACTTCTAAAATTTAGAAGTGAATGATTCTAAAATTCTAAAATGAGCAATTAACTGAGCTAAATATTTAAAAAGTATCTCTATTGTTTTTTACGTTTTGCATGTTCATTGTTCCTGTTTTGTTTTGCTTTTATTTATGGGGCTGTTATCAGGAGGCAGTTTTTTTCTTGTCTACTGGACATTATGTATATTAATTATTAAATAATTAATTATTTAAAGTTGAAATTTAAGTAATTATATTTCGAACTTTTTACTGCAAACAATTTTACAGCTAAACTGCGACCTTGAATTACGTTTTACTTACCAAAATAGAAAGAATTAATTGAATTATTCTTTAATAATTATTTTTTCGTTGTTTATTAAAATGTGTTATATATAAATACTTTTAAATTAACTATAATTAAATATAATATATTTAAAAATACGTAGTTTATAACATCCCCCGAGTATCAATTAAAATGTATTGATTTTGTTATTGTAGCTAGGGAATATTGTTCTTATTTAATTTCCTTTGATACGAATTGAACAGTACTAAAATTTAATGTATTTTAGATACTGTTTAGTAATCTATATATAAAATATATTTACAAATTAATAAGGAGCTTTTAAAATTTTAATTAAATTATTGAGTAATTAATTATTAAATTTAGCTAGAAATTAAAATTAATTAAATAAATAATAGGTCCAATGATTATCACCACTATAATGAAAGGTGTTTTTTTTAACGGTAATCGAAGAATGAAAGGTTGAATTATGTCTGCTTAATAATGTATTCTTCATAGGCCACTATACAATGCTGTAAAGTGGTAATGTACTGTACATTGTGGAGAGCTCTATTCCACTAATTATTCAATTAATTTCAAAAAGCGAAGGAGTATTCTTATTCGTTCATATAATATATCAAAAGATTTATTCACAATTCTTTGAATTATATAAATTATTCTTCGTTAAAATTTAATTTTTATCTCCACAGATTATTATTACTATTCATTGAATAAGTAATTTGAAAAACATTATTTTAAAATTTAGAATAGATATCACCAGACTTGAGCAATCGATAAATTCATAGTGTTTAAGTTTAATGTTTACAGCTCTTTTTTAAAAACAAGAAGTATCACGTGTTGTTTTGCATTTTCATTTTAAAATATACTAATAACTTACCTAACTAAGTTTTGCATTTCAAAATAGTTATTTTGCATATCGTTTAAGTAAAATACAATAAAATTAAAAGCTGTTGAAATTTATTTTTTCTTCAAAATATTTTTTAAAATTACAAATTCTATAATAATTTAAACATTATTAATTTCAGTAACAGTTATTAATAATTTAAGTAGATTAAAATATCAATATAAATTCTAATTAAAAGGTAATTATATTACAATGTATTTTATAACTTTATTTGATTAACAAATGCCATTTTCATGTTTAACAGTTAGACATGATTACAATTTAATATTTTGTTTATGTCAGTGAACTATAAGTTCATGATTTTGTCGAAAATATTGTGAACATTGGATATAGTATTAAATATTTTATAGAATAATATTTGATGTAATATATATTTAAAATGTCTTAAAGAAATTTCACTTTTCTAAATTCATTTCGTAGTGTTCAGTTGTGTTAAATAAGTGATTCTAAAAAGAAATCATCATTTTTGGATTCGTTCATTGCATCAAAATTGATATTGATCGCGTTCTATTTTATACAGAAAATGACAAGTCAAATATTATAGACTGGGTTAAAAAAAATTGAAGTTATTTACTCGTTTTTCTATCTTTATATTTTGAAATTTTCATACCTCTACAGAAAAATTATAAATCATTCTAAAAAATATTTTGAAATTGGATTTCAGCTCATAATATATTGAAAGAGAGATATTGCTTATTAAATTACATATTAAATTATAAAACGTTTCACAGCTGATGTATAAAAGTAATATATTTTTAAAATTCTCTCCATTTACAAATCCCTATCTTGTGAAAATATTGTTTAAAATCGTTTAAAAAGAAAAGAGAAATCGAATTATAAAATTCAGAAACAGTCCTAAAACTTGTTAGGTACATTTTCTAAATATAATTTAATGATATAAATAAATGAGTTTACTTCGTTTTCATATGAGAGATTTATTTAACTCCCAGTGTTCAGGGCACGAAGATAGCTTGGCCACTAGTGGGCACGTGTCAAATTTGACACTCCGAGTTTTTTGCAAATCTCCACGTTTTGAGATCTCCTGAGCCCAAAAAAAGGCAAAAAAAAAGTTTCGTGTTTGTGTGTGTATGTTGGTGTCTATTTAGCTTAATATTTCAGGACGGAGTTAAGATAAAGTAACCAAATTTGGTTCGGTAGCTCGTATGTAAGGGGTATTAATTGTATTAAATTTTGGTTGTGAAAGGTTAAGGGAATGGAGAAATAGAGGGTAGTCACGTGTCATGTCTTGAGCGGGGTCAGACTTAATGAAGATTTTACCTGTTGTTATCATTTACAATGTTTTATAAAACTCATCTGCACCCTTAAAATTATGTCTTTTGCCATTTTATAATAATTAAAAATATATAAAGTTTTTATTACGAAATCTTGTAAGAGATGGCGCCTCAATCAGTTTTATTTATTTATTTTGATTAATAATAAAAATGTCATTTTTAAAATAAAATGTCATTAAAGCCGGGAAAGTTACGCAACTCGTTGCAAGACTTTTAAAGAACGGTATGGACGCTTTATTTTTTAAAAATTACATTGCTTGAAGAACACGCTTCTTATTTTCGCTCAGGCGAGGTCTCATTAGTTCTCATGTCTTATTAACAGATAATTTCAATTGTTTGATGGGCTGATATCAGTTTTCTATGCTGCTTCTAGTATATCTAGCAAAATTTAATTTAATTTAATCAACGGCCTTCTTTTTGAAAATTAACCCGGATTGTTTATATTGCCATCATCGTCATAGATAGCTGCAGTTGGTCGTCGTAAATAAGTTTAACATTAAACTTATTTACGACGACGATTTACGATTTGTATAAAATGCTTAAAGCAATATAATGTAAACACAAAGAGAAGGATATTTTATTTTATTGCCATTTTCATTTGTGAAAAATTTGATTTGTTTCTTAAAACAATTTTATTCTCTGATTTCAGAAACAAGAAAAAAACTGTAATGGGTTTTAATAAGCAATTGTTTTTATAAAATCTTCATCTGTCATTGGTTAATAGTTAAAAATTTCATTTTAAGAAGAAGAAAATGTGTTGCCATATTATCTTTATTTGCTGTTATTGGGGCACAAAGTTAGACTTTTAGAAATAACCTGAATTTTTATGGTTCCAAATTAATGAAATGTCTAATATTGTTTACCCTTATTACTAAGGAACCAAAATACAACGTCTAACTAAAAGGTTTTGAAAATTCCGCAAAATGGTGCTAGCAAACTTCAAACAAGCTTAGCATGGCCATATTCCCATCAAGTACAGTACCTTACATATAATAATATATAAATTTTCTCCTAGAGAAGTTAATAATAATAATTATAATAATTAAAAATTTCGTAGAGTGAAATTAATAATTTTCATTAAGAGTTATTAATAATTAATTACTGTATAAATGAAAAGTATGAACAGTTGTGTGATTTAAAATTTTTGTGCATCGTAACTAATTAAATAATCAACTTATTCCAAAGTTGTATTTGTTGATAAGGAAAGGTCAAGCGAAGAACTGGAGCAATGTTATAGTGTACTTGACTCCATGTGGTTTTGAAATTTGATAACTTCTCGACCCACGAGAATGTGTCATCGAGAAATTTAGCTTGTCTAGTTTCTCACTATACATCAAACCAGACTCGTGGCCAGAATTTTCTTTCGGAGGATTCCTTGAATTTTATTCAGCGAAGGCCGTGGCTGATACCTTAACTGCCTCGGCCTTCCGTCCGTGGTTTGCTGGTAGCAATAGGTTTCTACCAAAATTCGCACGGGGCTTTAGCTGTACGAGTCCTCTTCCTGCTTACGTAACTGCATTTAGATATTCAGTTTCATTTAAATATAAGGAATTAATAGATATGTTCTAAAATTAATTGAAGAATTGAATATTCAAAGTGTGTTGTGAATAATCATTAAACAATAAAGTTTTACTATTATAATATAAACTAACGAATTTTACTAAATTTTAGCATTTATTCAATAGCCTATTAATTTAGGCTATAAAGATTTTATAGCCTATACATGTTCACTTATGATTTTATTTACTTTTTTATTGTTTATTCTTAGTAAAGAAATAGAACAAATTTAGAATATTTAAAAATTTTTAAAATATGTATTAATTAAAATTTGTTAAATGTTAATTTTAAAATCTTGCTATAAGTAAAATCTGGACTTGTTTTTACTCTTTCTGTCCCGTGAGCACTAGAGGTCCTTTTTACCAAGCCCATCGAGAATTCAGTGAGGCCCACAATGGCAAGGCCGGCGCGGTCCAACGTGTCCGAGTCGGACTACCTACGAAAAATTTATTGGTATTTTTGGGGCCGTTTCCGTTTCTGGGGTAGGCTAAACCTTAATCA